CAGTTATGTCATTTGTAGCTATTTTCTCCCATTCTGTAGGTTGTTGTTTTGTTTTGCTTATGATTTCCTTTGCTGTGCAAAAGTTTTTTAAGTTTAAACTTACTTGCTTTTTCTTAAGCTCAGAAGGTAGTATGGTTATTTTTCTTACATCAGGAATATTGTTATGTCATGTCTTTAATGATTATATACTAAACCTATATAATTACTGTTGGTGTACTAATTTTTTTTAAATGATAAAATTAATCATAGGTTTCCTCTAATTTACTTGCCCAGTTTCTATTGATGGACATGTAGGTTGTTTCTAGTTTTTAATTGCTGATAAATTATATTGGAATAAACATTTGGGTACACATTTCATTGTGGACTTTTCTAATGATCTCTAGGATAAATTCTTAGAAATGGAAATGTTGGGTTAAAGCTTGTGCACATTTATAGTATTAATATATATTATCAAATTGCCAGAAAATATATCAAAACCAAACCCAGTTTTAAATACTGGTACATTTAAATATTTATGTTTATTTCCATACTGCCAGAAAAGTTTTTCCAGAAACCAGTTTGACAATTCCCCCTCAGTGCTCTCACTAGAATGCAAGTTTGATGAAGGCAGAGACATTGTTTCACCTACTGTTTACCCCAGAGCTTGGAACAGTCTCTGCCATATAGTAAATGTTCAGTAGTTATTTGTTAAATGAATGACTATATAATATGTTAGAAATATTATGTCAGAAGGCTTAATAATTATTTTTATATGTGGTATTATTCTGATTATAAAATTAATTGAAATATTGATGGTTAGTTTCAGTTTGTTTTTTTTTTTAGTGAAAATGAATTGTTTTGAATCACATTCCTATAAACCAGAATAGTGGTTTTCAGTGGATACTGCCAGTATTTTGTGAGCCTTTGGCTTTCTCTCGAGAGTCTTTCTTCTGTCTACAGAAATGTTACATCAGCTTCTACTCAGCTATAAATGCCAAATTGTGGCTTTTAATGTATATATTGACTAGTGATGAGAATAGAATTTTTATAAATTAAGGACGACTTTTAAAATAATATAAAGATCTTAAAAATAACATGAGAGACATGGAAACTTAATGTCCATGGACAGATGATTGCATAAAGAAGTTGTGATACAAACACACACACTCATACACACACACAAATACTACTCAGCCATAAAAAAGAATGAAACAATATCATTTGCAGCAATACGGATGGACCTGGAGATCATCCTTCTAAGTGAAGTAAGCTAGAAAGAGACAGAAAAATACCATATGATATCACTTACATGTGGAATCTAACAAAAAGACACAAATGAACTTATTTACAAAACAGAAACAGAGTCAGAGACAGAAAACAAACATGGTTGCCAGTGGAGGAAAGGGGTGGGAAGGGATAAATAGGGAGTTCAAGATATGTAGATACTAACTACTATATATAAAATAGATAAATAACAAAGTCCTACTGTATTGCACAGGAAAGTGTATTCAATACCTTGTAATATAATGATAAAGACTATGAAAAGCAATATATGTATGTATAACTGAATCACTATGCTGTACACCAGAAATTAACACAACATTGTAAATCGACTATACTTCAATTAAGAAAATAAGATAACATGGAACTCAAAAGATGCTTAAGATGCACTATATGAGAGTGGTGAGATTTTGGTCTCTGTAAATTTGGATCTGAATCTT